CTATCGCATTAGCGCTCGTAAGGTCGCCGACATCGTCTTCGACCGAGTCGTGAGAGATCACGGCTTACCTCAGAGCATCATCTCCGACCGTGACCCGCGCTTTACCAGCACATTCTGGCGACGCCTACACGAGGTGTATGGATCCCAGCTCCGCATCTCATCGTCTTACCACCCTTAGACGGATGGTCAGACTGAGGTCACCCACAAAACTCTCGGTAATATCCTCCGAAAGTTTGTTAGGGATGACCAGCAGTGGGACTTACACTTAGCCCACGAGGAGATTGCGTACAACCACGCTGTTTCGCCAGCCACGGGGATGTCGCCATTCTATTGCGACCTCGGCCACCACCCTCGCGTACCTGCGGATTTCCTACGACCATCGCGGTTGCGCCTAGACACTCGTTGCCCTGCGCTTGACGACAGGATCGCCCACATGGCGGCGATTATGAAGCGTGCACACGAGAGTTTAGCCGACTCCCAGACTCGCATGGCCGCACGAGCGAACCGATCACGAATGGATCATCCATTCAAAGTCGGTGACGATGTGCTCGTCGACGCACTCCACTTACAGCTCGAAGCAGATATGCTTCGCAAGTTCAGGCGTAGTTTCTTCGGTCCATGCCGCATCCTTCAGGCCGTCGGCTCTGATACTGCCGCTAGTCCGGTCAGCTTCCGTGTGAAGCTACCTGATTACCTTCGACAGGCTCGCGTACACGATGTTTACCACGTCTCCTTGCTGCGTCCTTATCGCAGACCATCCGAGCGCTTCACCGGACGCCCTTATGAGCGCCCTCCACCTATCATGGTGGACGGTCACGAGGAGTTCGTTGTTTCCGACATCGTATCACGCCGAGTTACCGACGATACCCCTCCACGCATCGAGTACCTTGTACGTTGGAAGGGCTACCCTGATGAGGAGGCTACTTGGGAGCCCCTCGAGCACTTGCAACACGCCAGGATGTTGGTGCGTGCATATGATCGTGCTCGTCGTGCTGGGACATCTGCTTCTACTCAGCCGACTTACCCTCTTCCTCCTCCTCCGGCTGAGGAGATCGCTGAGGATGAGCCCGCTCCCTTTGAGGCCGTTCCTCAGCCGCAGATGGTCGCCTCCGAGCGTCCACAGCGCACTCATCGTCGCCCTTCACGGTACGATGACTGACACTCTTATCCTCCATCTTTCCCCACTGACTCACACCATCAGGTACTCCATCATCAGCTCTTCTTCAGGATGTCAGCGTTTTGCGGCTCTGCTTCGACATCGACTCGACTGCTACTTCATCGACGTCATCGACCAATTCGACGACTTCAGCTACCTTATCGGCTTCAGCTACTTTGGACGTGACTACTTCACACCACCACCCTACCCTGTACATTCCCTTGCATCTGTCGCATGATGGTTCTCACTTAGCTGGGTCTCTTTGAGTTGGGCTCTCCCTTGGTATCGCACAGGCATTGGGACCGTAGCGTTATCTTGGCTTCCCTGCTCCCAGATCTAGATCCTTCCTCCCCCAGTCGGTGAGTTGTGTGCATGTTTCCCTCACCCACTGCCCTCATCACCCTAGTGTCGGCCCTTGCATGCCTTCAGTTAGGCATATCTCCACCCTATTCCAGGCTCCCCCTTTTCATGGTCGACCCTGCATGGTGTCCCCCTTTTGTCGAGCATTACCCGCCTTGATGGTCTATCTGTTAGGGTCATTGGTTTTGTTTCGCTACCACTCTCCCACCTTGAGCCTGATGACATATCCCACCTTCATGTGTGACTGCCCTYAGGAGTTTCGATTCTTAGGCTGCATTCACCCCCTCTGATACCATCCCACTTTTAGTGGTTTAGCGACATGACATTATCTTGTGACATATTGCTCTTCTCCTTTCAGCACTGAGGCCACTACCTCCAGGACTTTAGGAGTGTATCATACTACATTTCATTTTCTGCTGTTAGCTAGGATATGTATACCAGACATTTGCTTTTCTTTTGACATTATATAGTCTAGGATGCATCGCATGGACTCTGCATGGAGCTTGCTCCGCATCCTAGGTCTGAAGATCGTGCAGCGGGCCTTCATCTGCCCCGGCCCACAGTCAGGGCCTATTTGGCTATTTGCCAGTCCGGCCTGTGGGAYYAGGCCATGGCCTGACCCCACAGGCCGTGCGGTTATTCAGTCCAGTCCAGTCCTGCCTGGTACCACTATCGGTACCAGGCCAGTCCAGTCCAGTCCAGTCAGTCCGCTGGGGGTATACCCCAGCTGCAGTCTATTTTGTGGCATTCTTCATTTGCACAGATTGGAGTACGTGCGTGTTGAGTCTGCTTTGGAGTTGCGCTGTCCCTTCCAGCTCCAACTCCATCTCCCTCATCCTCATCCCTTCGTCTTGATCCTGACGGACCGCCATCCCGGCGGGTCCATCACATATATAGAGGGTTATAAATATGTGATGATCACTTCTCACAATCACAGTGGGATTTCTCTCATCCATATATATAATCGCAGACGGTCAATCCAAAGTCCAAACCACCAAACATACCTGCAATCACATCAAAGATTCAACCAGAAGTCCATGCACTACACGGGGTCAACTTCAACCATTCTATGCACTCACACCCCTCGCTTTAGCCATGCAAGCCTCACTCTTGTGCAACTCATCAAAATAAAATACTCAGTACTTTTCTTTAAATGGTCATTCAAATAAAGTCCGGGCGAAAACACAACAAAACAATTCAAACCACAGGGCTAAAGTCCTTAGGTTGAGTGACAAGAATGGATTGAAGTTGAATCGTAAACCGACGAATCGGCAACCAACCTGTTATCAGTGATAACAGAAGATGATCCTCGTAGGATCAAGCTGAATCTAGTCCTGACCTTGAATCAAACGATCAAGAGGACATGTAACACAAGACAAACCAATCCCCAAACTAGATCTATAAGTCTATGGAGAATAATCTCCATAACACGATCTCACCAAAAATTCTCCTGCAAACTAAGTCTAAGCCTACCTCTAAGTCAGTGCCCAAAGAAAGGTAGACTAATGACAGAATTTCCCCTTTTCAGGGTGGATTTCCAAAATCGTCACCTGTCAAAATATATTATAACTCCTTTAATTAAGAAAATTTCGGCAGCTCTTCCCGTAGAAAATGTGTTTTTTTGAAATTTATATCATCCTAAATATGAAAACAAAAAATAGTCTTCAACTTTTCAAAGTCAAATTTTGTCTCACTCCCTGAATTAGCTAAATTTTGGGCAGCACTCCCTTTAGAAAATGAGACTTCTCAAATTTCTACTAAGCCATATATAAAATTTAAACAAGTCGAACTTTGAAAAGTCAAAATTTGTCTAACTCCTTTGATTTGCAGAAATTTCGGCAACTCTTCCCGCAAAGAAAGTAGCTTACCAAAATTTATACAAAACCAAGTATAACGAATGAACCAAAAAAATGCAAAAATTGACGTAAGTAAAACAAAGTTAGCTCAAAACTAACTCTTATCGCTCTAGCACGTGGCGAGCAACTAAAGCAACTACCTGTCAAACTGAAACTCAGACTAAGTAGTGATCTTACTCAGCCACATGCACGTCAAACCACAAAGGTAAGTACTCTCACCAGTTCCCAAGTCAAAATCCTCATAAGATAGTTCGTGAAAAAGTACTCTCACCAGTTCCCAAGTCAAAATCCTCATAAGATAGTTCGTGAAACCCTCAGATAATTTGTTCCTTATACCCAACTTACATATGGCAAGGTGCTAGACCATTGAGCTTAGAAACAATGTCTAGCATGCCTTTAGGATATACACGAACAGTTTGCACAACTACTTTTCTCTTCTTTGGGCGTATGACTAGACCATTCAGCTTAGAAACAATGCCTAGTCGCCCTGAACTGTTTAATATCCAAAATTTAATAGTTCCCTGACTTCGTTCTCACACAAAGAAATAAAAATATGGGTAGGGGACTGAGCTATTCAACTTAGAAACAATGCTCAGCTTGCCCAGAGTACTTCCAATTATACTCAGTACTTTCTCTTCTCTTCTTAATGATATGGCTTAGTGTTGGACCATTTAGCTTAGAAACAATGTCCAACTGTCAGTTCACATGCAAATATAGGCAAAGTACTTTCTATTATACTCAGTTTAACTTCAATGCGTGGTTTTCAGGCGAAACCATTCAGCTTAGAAACGATGCTTAGCCTTAGACCATAAATCCTCCCTCATACTAAAACAAAAATTCAACCCTTCAATCAGATAAATCCTCAGAAATAAACATAGCAACCAGACCATTCAGCTTAGAAACAATGTCTGATCCTTAAAAAAACAGTCAAATAAACATAGCGCTGGGTTATTCAACTTAAAAACTATGCCCAGTCCTTGGATGACCCAGTCAATCGCATGCAAACTGCCTTCCTCTCACCTTCCCCCAGTTCATCCTTTAATCTGCTTTCTGTTAAAATAAAGAAGAAACTTAGACTTTACACGCATGTTTTTTCCATTCGGTCTGATTAATCCTGAAAGAAAGCAAAATCATAGGGGACACGCATGCATACAATCAATCAAACTGAAGGGAGATAGTCAAACAGGGGTACAGTGGTTCATACACGTAGAAAAAAATATACCTGATGGTTCCCTGCCTCCAGAACTCCTCCTAAGTTCCGACAAAGCTCCCGCAATCGGTGGGCAGACTCCCCACAGAGTCTTGATGCGGTCTTACGGGTTGCAATCCCGCTTGTCGCCTTCCTCTCAGAACCAGACTAGACTTAGAGTAAGAAGGATAAAAGGAGGGGTTTCAGACGCGCGAGATACAAGAGAGGGACAGACTCAACTCTCAGGAGAGGGCCTCGAAATCTCTGATCGTCTGAGGGTCCCGCAATGGTAGCCAAGCAGCAACAGCTCGATCAACTTTGAAGATAAATTGTCAAGTTCAACCCTCTGACGACCTCCTAACCCGCAGCAACAACCCTCCTTCAAAGGAATCAGTCACCCTACCAAACTTCCATCACTGAACTTATCTTTTTCAAAACAACAATTTTCACTTTCATAAGCAGGCAGGTGGAAGGTAGAAAGAGAATAATCCTTTTTTTTAATCTCAAATAGGCATAATCAATTTCCTTTGCACGCATCCTTCTACCTATCTGCACAACATGCATAGAAAACAAGTTCAAAAGAAAACAGTACAATCCCAGAATCACGTCAGACCTTCCCATTCAGATGCATGACTCGCACAACTTTCTCTACCTTTTCTTTCGAACGTTCAAAACAACAGAGTCAAGCAAAGTGTGGGTTCACACAGTTGTGAAGGAAAGCCTGAGTCATTCAACCGACCTTGAGTGAAGCTTAGTCCGACCCACTCAAGAAAGTCGGGTAATATTCCAATCATAAGAAAATGACCGCCATAGAAAAATATGCAGCACACAACTCGTAAGTTGTGGCCTTTCTCCTACATGACCGTCCGCGTCTTTCTCCAAGTGTCTGATCACACCAAGATTGGGTCCACTAGGACATCTGAATGAGATAACCCTCAAAGAGGGTGCTCCCATGATCCAAACCCACGTCGTCCCAACATCCCGGACAGTCCCAACGCAGTCCTCACTGCACCTTCACTACCAAGGATACCTCCTAACCAACCGCAAGTTCACACCGCCTCCTATCACCATGTCCGCTCACAATACCCCCACCAACATGCCGGTCCCGATCACAACAGTCAGTCCCACCTAGTCCCAAAATGGTCCTGAGTGGTCCCAATGCAGTCCCACACCACTGCTGCAATACTGTGTAGTTTTGAACTCAAAACCGCTTGCTCCGCGCGCCGCAAAAAAAAAAAAGGTCATTCAAGCTGAAAACCGCTTGTGCCGCGAGCCCCAAAAAAAATAAAGATATCCTTCTGGCAAAAACCGCAAGCACTGCAACTCGAATAGCCAGTGCCACGTGCACTCATTCCGTTCCATCTTCACGCCACCGGTCCACGCACCGCTACTGCACAATCCCAAACGTGCACCAGCACAAGTTAAACCTCTAGGCCGCTCTGGGATCCATCATAACTGTCGTGTACCACAAAAAACGGAACTGTCGCTGTTGTGCCAAAATTTTGGTAGCGTAACCTTACAAAAAAAATTGCCATTGTCGTGCCGCCAAATGGTCAGCCCCTCCCTTCAGGGAGACCTTGATGCCGCCATGCCGTCAGTTCGGCAGCACCTCCGCACCACTGTCGTCAAAACCAGTGCCGCTGCCGCAAAAATCCGGCAGCGCTTCCTCGACACTGCCAAAA